CCAGCCTGGATTGATCCTGGGGGTTGCAGCACCAACACCTGCACTTGGCCTTGTTGAACCTCCTGAGATTCCCATGGGACTTCCCCGGGTCCCTGTGGATACAGCTGTGTGTGCAGCTCCTGGTGCTCCACAGCATGACCTCCCTCAATCTCTGCCAAGCCGTTTGTGCTGCTCCCTGAGCAATGTCTTGAGAAAGGCTTCGAGGAGGTTTCACATGCAGAGCTGATGCCTCCAGCTGGGTAAGGAGATTAGGGAGGGAGTTTGGTGGAGTGATAACAACGTGTAGAAACTAAACAGGATGCCAGAGCAATATTACATAAGATAACTCCTGTTATCAGCTCTAAAGAATTTTATGCTCACTCTGACTGCTCATATCTTCTGGTTTTATCAGTTTCCTTCTGCTTGTCTTTTGTACATGTTTCCAGGTTTAGCAGGTCTCACCCAGCTGCAAATAAAGATAGCACTGATAACCATCAAGAGAGATGGAGGACCTCACTTCAAACACACACCTAGACTGCAAGGCATTTTCCAGATGGGCTGTTTAATCCAAGGGGTTTATCCTGCCTGCAGCTCTGAGAATTTCTGCTGAAAGGTCACCAGCTGCAGGTGGGAAATAAGGGCCTGAAGCTCTCCAGAATGGAGAGAGGAGAGAGGAGGTTTTGCAGTGAAGGATGAGCCTTCAATTTGGGCATGTCAGGCTATGGAGTTGCCTCAGATCAGCACAGACTTTCTTCCTTGGGCTCTGTGCTCTCTGGGTATGAACCACTTCAAGTCATTGCTTGGGCACAGAGTCATGGAACCATCACGGTTGGAGGAGACCTCTAAGAGCAGGGACAGGTGGATATTGGACAGGAATTGCTCCCTGGGAGGTGCTGAGGCACTGGCACAGGTTGCCCAGAGCAGCTGTGGCTGCTCCACCCCTGGGAGTGTTCCAGGCCAGGTTGGATGGGGCTTGGAGCAGCCTGGGCTGGGCTGGTGGGTCCCTGCCCAGGGCATGATGATTCTAGGATTCTCCTGTGATCAGCACTTTTTCTAGCCTTAAAAAAATCTGCATCAACACAGCACCCCATGAGGGCTGGATACCCAACCCATGCCTTGTGCAGAGGCTCCTCCCTTGCCGTGGGGCTGATACCCCCCAGGGATTTCTTCCCTTTTCATAAGATCACAGATTGATTTGAGCTGGAAGGATCTTAAAGCCCATCCAGTGCCACTCCTGCCCTGGGCAGGGACATCTCCCACCAGCCCAGGCTGCTCCAAGCCCCATCCAACCTGGCCTGGAACACTCCCAGGGATGGAGAAACCACATCTGCTCCAGTCCCATGATCCACTTAGCGGCCTCCTCTGGACTCATTCCAACAGTTCCATGTCTTTTGCCAGGCCCAGTGTCATTCTCGGGGGTTGGAACTTGTCGCAAACCCAAGCTCCTCTGAGGCAGTTGCTGCTGGAACTGCAGAGCAAGGAGCTGTGTGCAGCACTGGCCCAGAGGCTGCAGCTGGCATTGCTGGGCCAAACCTGCCTGAGGGTCTGCAAAACCATGGGAGGGACTTGAGGTGAAGGAATTTGGTCCTGACATCTTGGTATATCTCCAGCTCTGGTTGTACTGAGAGCTATCTCAGCACCCAAGCCTGGCCCTGCTTAATAGGGTATAGAGAGGGGACGGGTGAGTGGGTGCCTAGGTGCTATCACACTCCTCCTGGGACCTTGTGGAACAGGTTGGGAGGCAAAACAACATATGAGGCCATGAGAACTGTTTGGAATTCATATTTTATTGCTTTGTACAAGGGGAAAAACAGAGGACTACAAGGCTGAAAGGTAATATCCACCTGCCCCTGCCCTCTGGCACTGAGAAGTCATTCCCTGTGTCCTGTCCCTCCAGACCTTGTCCCAAGTCCTTCTCCAGCTCTTTTGGAGCCCCTTGAGGCACTGGAAGGGGCTCTGTGGTCTCCTTGGAGCCTTTTCTCCAGGCTGGACACCCTCAGCTCTCCCAGCATGGATCCATTGAAGAAGTGCTCCAGAATCAATGAATGGTTTGGGTTGGAAGGACCATTAAAGCCCATCCAGTTCCACCCCTGCCCTGGGCAGGGACACCTCCCACCAGCCCAGGCTGCTCCAAGCCCCATCCAGCCTGGCCTGGAACACTCCCAGGGATGGAGCAGCCACAGCTGCTCTGGGCAACCTGTGCCAGTGTCTCAGCACCTCACAGGGAGCAATTCCTTCCTAATCTCTAATCTAACCCTGTTTTTCTTCATTTTAAGGCCATTTTTCACTAGGTGAAGCTGATGAGTCCATGATATTTCTCCATGTGTGTCCCTCCTTGGCCTCACAGTGGTTGCCACAAGCCAGTGGTGGCTGAGCACCAGGTATCACAGACCCATCAGCTTCACCATGGTTCTTCAGCCTCACCAAGGCCTGTGGCACTGCAGATGAGCTCACTTAGCTCCCATCAGTCATCCCTTCTTTTGTCCTTGTGCAAAGTGCAACCCTTTCTCCCATTTCCTCAGCAAGACTTGACCTCATGGATCCTTAGGAAGCCTTGGCCTCAGGGATTTGCATCCCTGGCTGCTCCACAGCCAGCTGGTTCTCCAACACACAGCACAGCTTGTAATTCTCTATGATCTTGGCTTGAAAATATTCCTTGTCCTTCTGGTGCCAAACGTCTGTGGCGATGTAGGTGTTGTAGGGGTCTTGGGACCCCTCGAGCCTCCGGGAGCAGATGTTGCTCAGCATCACCCCCACAGTGAAGAAGCCGAAGAGACCAACCATGAGCAGCACATAGATGATTTCCAGGTTGTTGCTGGCACTTCTAAGCTGGGAAGGTGCAGAGCTGTTTGTCTGTTCCAGGTAATTTTGAAGGAGCTTGGAGAGGAGCAAATTCAGGGCTGTGTGGTTTGACACCTCCAGCATCTTAGTTGTGTCTCCTTCACACTTCTTCCTTCCTTCCTCAACTGCAGCTTAGCTAGAAAAGGATAAAAATCAAGGACATGCCATCAGATAAACTGGTGATTTCCTCTGCCTGCCTATACTGTCTCCTCTCCTAAGAGGGAAAGCTACCCCAGAGCCAGCACTGAGGCTGGAGATGGACCTGGAGGGACCTCACCTCCTGTCTGCAGGCCAGAAGAGCTGAGCTGAGTCCATCCCCCAGCAACACTTGATTACAGAACATCCTCACTCCTCAGAGTCTGTTCTGGTGTGCAGCTGCCCTGACTGTTGGCCACTCACCCATATACCTCACCCTGACCTCCCTGCTGATGTTTAGACCCCAGGACTTCTCCCCTGAGCCCCCACAGGCATGGGGAGTGTCTCACCTGGGGGAACAGCCCTGATCTCCCTGGTGAGCAGTGACAGGACTGAGGGAATGGCTGGAACTGTGTCAGGGGAAGGTTAGGTTGGATGTCAGGACAAGGTTCTTTCCCCAGAGGTGTTTGGGCCCTGAACAGCTCCCCAGGGCAGTGGGCACAGCCCCAAGGCTGACAGAGCTCCAGGAGGGTTTGGCCAATGCTCTCAGGCTCAGGGTGCATTGCTGGAGTGTCCTGGGCAGGGGTTGCACTGATGATCCCTGTGGCTCCTTCCAGCTCAGGAGATTCTATGGATCAATGATTCTGTGACCCTTTCTGCTCCCTCCTTTCCCCAGACAAGTGCTGGTGGGCTGACCATGATCCATCTCCTCACAGGGTTGCCCTGAGGAGCTCTGAGGAAGATCACCCAGCCCAAAATCAACACCCTGGTGGGCCAGGACCTTACTTGGGGTGGTGATCCCTATCCCACAGGAGGTTTCTGTGCATGCTGGGTGGTCACCTCTCCTACCTCCTCTTGGGTGAGCACTGACCAGCTCAGCCTGGGGCAAACCTGATCAGTTCAGTGACTTTTTCCCTGGCTAAGTGACTCAGAGGGAATTCCCTGAGGTTGGCAGAGCTTGGGCCACATCCTGCTTTCAATGAATTGCTGCCTATCCAGCCATGACACTGGAGTGCAGGTGCAGATGTCCAATGCAAGAGCAATGGGCTCAGGGCAGGTTTCCTTCCAGCAGTGCAGGTGTGGAGTTGGCATGGCCCAAACTCATCATGTGTCAACATTGACCTGACCCATTGGCTCTGCTCCATGGCACTGAGCTGTGCCAACCTTGTCCCTTTCCTCACTGTCTCCTGCTGCTTGTCCTCACTCTCTCATGCTGTGGATTTCTGGTGGGAGGTGGAGAAGGAGTATCTGAGTGATACCTTCATGGAGAGCATGAGGTGAGCCTGGAAGTGAAGATGCCACAGAGAGGATTCTGGAGCTGAGGAACAGACAAAATCAGGACTCTAGGCCAGAAATCATAGAATCACAATGGTTTGGGTCGGAAGAGACATTAAAGATCATCTCATCCCACCCCTACCCTGGGCGGGGACACCTCTCACCAGCCCAGGCTGCTCCAAGCCCCATCCAACCTGACCATGAAGCCAATGAGAGAGATGGAGAGAGACTATTGACAAGGGCTTGGAGGGACGGGACACAGGGAATGGCTTTAAACTGAAGGAGGGCAGGGACAGATGGATATGGGGCAGGAATTGCTCCCTGTGAGGAGCTGAGGCACTGGCACAGGTTGCCCAGAGCAGCTGTGGCTGCTCCACCCCTGGGAGTGTTCCAGGCCAGGCTGGATGGGGCTTGGAGCAGCCTGGGCTGGTGAGAGGTGTCCCTGCCCAGGGCAAAAACAGGGGTGGGATGAGATGGTCTTTAAGGTCCTTCTAACCCAAACTAGTCCATGATTCCATGCCAACTGATTCTTTCTCCCCCTGTGCTTCTCTTCCCTTCTGAGGTTACAATGTGCTATTTATCACGTGAGCAGAGAATGATAAATAACAAATCCTCATCCACCAATACAATTTTCTCAGCTCTCACAAATCATAGGTCTTAGATCCTAATTTCTCCAAAGCAAACACCTCCACCACTCTCTGTCCCTCCCATTGCTGCCCAAAGCGCCAAAAAGCAAAGGAGTCTACAGGAACCCTTACCTTTAGCAAACGCAGCTCCCTAGCAGCTTCTCATGCTCTGATGACACACAAAATCCTGTGCTACACCAATTTCTGCCAACGACCTCCTTCTCCCCACCATGAAGGACCTACTGACCTCCCTGGCTGGTTTTCCTGGCTGTTTCTTGCAGGTCTGAGTAGGTCAGACATTGCACAAGTCAGACCCATTTCCTTTCTCTTGGGAATTTTGCAAGGCTGCAGCATCCAGGGCACTGATCCTGGCTGAGATGGGACAGCAGCTCATCCCTGAAGCAAGAAGAGCTGGATGGATGGACCCGCTGTCCTACACAAGGTTCTACTTCTCCCACAGCTCCCACCTGTCTCTGGAAGAGCTGGAGGGATAGACCTGCAGCTCTGCACAAGGTTCTACTCCTCCCACAGCTCCCACCTATCTCTAGCAAATCCATAGCCTCTCCCTACCTGCTCCAGGGTCAACTTACACCTGGGCAACACTTCAGGTCCTTATGTGACTCTTAAAAGCAGTGGGAGACACTTCATTCTTCCCCAAGCACCATTTTTATCTGCCCACAGACACAAATTGAGTTCTCTGACACACACTTTGTATTTATCGGACTCTTTTGAAGCAGAAAACCTCTCAACCTCCCCCAAAACCATCCAAGCTTCCCCTCCCAGATGCAGCTGCCTTGGGCTCACCCCCAGGCTGGAAGAGCAAGCAAACCCTGGAACACAACTCTGGCTCCTTCTTCTCTTCCTCCTCCGTCACTTCAGCTCTGCTGCTTGGCATCTGCAAAGCTCTTGGAGCTTCCAAGAACTTCTCAGTTCTCCACCACCATCATCCCCAGTCCCTCTGTGCTGGTACAGACCTGGCAGCAAGGCACAGGCAGGTGCAGAACTCCAGCCCTTCTTGGAGAAGTAGGAAGATGCAAGCCTGGAAAAGCCTCTCTGGATAATCCCCCTGGGGTATTTGCTGGCTCCTGCAGGGCCAACAGCCTGGTTGGCACTGTCCCCTGTCCCCGGGGCAGTGCGGAAGGTAAGAGGCAAACAGGGAAATGCCTCGGGCTCAGCAGGCTGGGGGAGGGCAGAGGCTGCTGCCAGCTGCTCTGGGCTGCAGGTGTGCCCAGGTGGGAGGTGCTGAGGGGCACAGAGTTAAGCTCCAGGGTGGCACAGGAGCCACAGGCACTGCAGGGTGGGTGGAATCAGAGTATCCTGAGCTGGAAGGAGCCACAAGGATCATCAGTGTAACTCCTGCCCAGGACACCCCAACACTGCACCCTGAGCCTGAGAGCATTGGCCAAACCCTCCTGGAGCTCTGTCAGCCTTGGGGCTGTGACCACTGCGCTGGGGAGCTGTGCCAGTGCCCAAATACCCTTTGCCTAATCTCCAGCCTAACCCTTCCCTGGCAACTTCAGGCCATTCAGGTCGTGTCACTGGCTGCCAAAGAGAAGAGGTCAGTGCTGCCCCCTCACTTCCTTCCATCTCGGGAGGAGCTGCAGACCCTGCTGAGGTCTCCCCTGTCTCCTCTCCTCCATGAAGGTGCTGAGGTATTGAGACATATCCAGTGCTGCTGTCCAAGAAAGGCACCTTGAGCCAAGGCTTAGTACCAGTGGCCCCATGTCTTGTCACCTCACCTCACTGCAGGACTCTCCTGTCACCTCACCCAGGCAGACACCCCATGGGGTGTCCTCCTGCTACCCCAGCACAAGGAGGTGACCAACCTGAGGGGGGTGCAGAGGGTGCTTGGCAGGGAAGGAATCTCTTTCAGAGGGGACAAGGGAGCTCTCCCCTCCTGAGGTCCCACCTGCAGTGCTGCCTGCCAAGATCTGGGGGCCTCAGCACAAGAAGGACATGGAGCTTTTGGAGTAGGTCCAGAGAAGGTCATGGAGATGCTCCAGGGCTGGAATATCTCTGCTCTGGATCCAGGCCGGGAGACCTGAGGGTGTTCCCCTGGAGAAGAGAAGCTCCAGGGAGACCTCAGAGCCCCTTCCAGTGCCTCAAGGGGCTCCAAGAGAGCTGAGAGGGACTTGGGACAAGGGCTGGAGGGACAGGACACAGGGAATGGCTTCCCACTGCCAGAGGGCAGGGACAGGTGGATATTGGTCAGGAATTGCTCCCTGTGAGGTGCTGGTGGCACTGGCACAGGTTGCCCAGAGCAGCTGTGGCTGCTCCACCCCTGGGAGTGTTCCAGGCCAGGTTGGATGGGGCTTGGAGCAGCCTGGGCTGGTGGGAGGTGTCCCTGCCTATGGAACTAGACGATCTTTAAGGTCCCTTCAACCCAAACCTTCTGTGACTCTGTGATTAATTAAAGAGCTCTCAGGGTGTGTGTGTGTCCCCTCTCCCCTCACCATCCCACCAAGAGGAGAGTTGTGTCTTCCTTAGAGCAGATTCCTTTTTCTAGAGACATTTGAGTACCTTCTCTTTGTCCTTGGTGGGACTTGTGTGTGCACATGTGCCAGGGATGTTATTGTTTTCTATCCAAAGGCTACACAGCCACTCCAGGCAAGGATTTTCTTTGCCCTCATGGATCTGTCAGTAGCCAGATTTCATTTGCTTCAGTTCAATGAAGACCTGGAGAGTGATGAGATCCCTTACAAGGCAAATGCAGGTTCTCTTTGGAAGGTGATAAAGGACATTTCCCATATAGATCTCTCAAAACCACATTCCTTTGGTTTAAACATGCTCTTACTGGGTGTTTGAGGCAAGAAATACTGAAATCTATCTGAGGAGCAGAAAATATACTGAATTTTGTCACTGAGTTGTGGCTCTTTCTTGGAAGTCCCTGCTGTGGCCCTTGCACATAAATAGATGAATCCTAACATGGCCAGATCTTTCCCTTTGGCACTTTGCCACATGAATCATGTCAGTCCCTCAAAATCAGAGGGAAATTGTTGGGAAAGGTGAAGGTTCCGCATGGGGAAGCAAGCGGCCGACTCCGTGTGG